CCCTTTATAGTTAAGATGTTAACCATGGTTAACCCAATGGTGGTGATGCGATTGACCTCAAGGATTCTGGCAATCTCAGGTGATATGATGGTGAGGAAAAATTATTGAAGGGTTATCAAATACAAAGCCGAGTAAATTAGCATAAAATGCCACTTTATAATTGCATACGAAACAATTATCCTAGCAAAAATCATAATCCTAGAAATACAAATATCATTTGACATCTAACTATAAAATTAACGTGGATTCAAATGGAGCCTGAAATAGATCAAAGGATGTAATTGCCATCTAAATTACCTAAAAAAACATCACTACTTGCAATACTAAATTAAGTCTGCAAAGTTGATATTTAACATTACAGGGTATTTTTAGCTCCTGTGAATTGATTTCATTTTATATTCCCCTTCCCAATCTCCTTATTTATCAAAGATTTTACATATCAATTAGCATTTTTTTCCTACAAATATTCTCTCTTGTTGTCATTACTTTTTTTTCCTGGTCTTCTCCTAAAAGCACTGCTATGTATATCATAAGATCTCACTGTGCGCGATCTTCAAGTAAATCTAGCCTCTTCATTTGTACTCACAAGCTCTTTTCTCTTAATCCTTTATTTTAGTTTATCAGCTTTCTAAGATATTGTTTGGGACGGCTTTCTTACTGCTTTATAAAGCAGCTTTTTAGTATAAAAATTTAATTTTTCTGCTAAAAATCTACTTTAAAAAACAGTAAAAAAACCGTTCCAAACGAAATGTAAGTTTGATTACCTCGATTGAGAATGTGTAATTTTTGTTAGCATCTTAGTTTCAATTTCTTCAAGTCCCTACTCCAAGACGTCAGAGCATCATGATGGTTGATTTGCGTTATAAAATAATAACACATCTCAATTTTTCAACCTCAACCATATCAACGCCATATGGAATTATTATTTTTAATTCAGTGATGTTAAACTTCTAACAATGGTGGATTGGGATTGAATGACAAGTTAGTTATATTTGCATTTATATTTATCATTTGTATTTTAGGATGGATGGACCTAGAGCAACATAATCTAGAATTTACAAATTTGAAGCACGGAAACAACCTCACAGGCTCCACATGAAAGAGACTAGATGACGACAAGTGCTGGTATAGACAGATCGAGTGCTTTTGTTGGTGCTCGGGAAAGCTGAGGGACTGCCATAGCATGTTGCAAACCTCTCAGATAGGCACCATCAATAAATAGTTTAAAAATCAAGCACATGCACTAGAAAACAAGTTGAATCAACATTAGATGCAGCAATTTAAAGTTATAAATTAATAAATATTGGAAATAAATAAAATGAGTAAGAAGAGGTAAAAGAAGAGATCCAACTATTGATCTCATGATAGAGAAGAGAGCTTGGATATTGATAGTATTACTTTACACCGAAGCAGTACATACCACCAACTTAAGCAATTTGATTGTCATTATTTTAGATAACACATTTATCAAAACTTAAGAAGTCGAAATTCAATGCAATTTGAAAAATCATTATTTTAGTCAGCATAGTTTAATATAATGTCTATCATTTCACACTCCTCAAAATGAATCCTTATAGTTAAAATAAGTTTATTAGGTGATATAACTATTTTTTTATGTTCATCACCCGACTTGAGAAAATGATTAGGGTGATGCTTGCCACTTGGGTGTTAGGCAACCAAATTCCTCGAGGGCATCAAGAGTATTTGACAACACTGAGTATGAACTATTATTTAGGAAATGTTTTCAGCTTGCTAGTAGTGTCATATCACATATGTATGTGTTTGTTTGTGTTCGTGAGTGTGCACTAGTGTGCAGCATTTAACTACACAGCCTTTTCATGATGTGCCCTATCCCAGTGTAAGTACAGAAAATCATGAAGAGCATGAAGAGCATAACAGGAGAGAGGAACAGGAGGCAGCAGCTCAGGAGGCTTGTACAGGATGATCACCACCTTTTCGGCAACCAAGGAGCCAACACCGGATACTCTTCGGGAGACTTTGAAGGAGAAAACTGCAGGAGGAAGGCCTGTGGACAACTTCAAGAAGCTCATAGAAACAAAATTACAGGAGAAAATGATGAGGAGCTCTATTTCAAATGTGAAGAGAGGTATACACCGGGGCATAGATGTAAGGACCGAACTCTTCAGGTTCTTATTGTTTGTGATGAAGAGGGAATGGAGGAGGGTGTCATCTTTCCACCTTGCGGATGAGGTGGGTCTTTGAGAGGGGAGTATTGTTAGACTGGTCCAACCAGTCCATATGGTAATGGCTCATGCGCAACAGGCGGAACTTCTCCGCCTCTTGTATGCGCCGATCAAATTGCCAAGGCTAACATAGCTGTTTAGGAAGGATTTTATAGGAGAGTTAGGAGGAAAATTACAAAGTTGGGGTTGTTTAAGGATTTTCTTTTGAATTTTATGTATTAAGTACTATGTTTTGCTAGGGTTAGGACATCTTGAATTTGGCTGAAATTTAAGCTCTCTCTTAGGTTTTGAGCTCTATCGGCATCTAGAGATTTGGGAGAGCTGGATCTTCCTCTCCAATTGAAGATCCAATTGTATCTTGTATTTTCTTTCATAAAACTTTTAATAAAAAAGTATTCTTGTGTGTTCTTTTGATGGTTTTCTTGTTGGTTTTTCAGAAATTGCTAAAATCAGATTTCAGCCAAGGCTTTTCCTAAATTTCTACAAGCACTTCCTATCACTTTCATCCTCAAGATTCATGGACCTTGGATCTATCCCCAATTTGCATTGAGCCCATCTCAAGTAGAATTGAATCAACAGTCTGATCATATTTATTTTCATTGAAATCTAACTTTCCAATGGAGTCAAGTCAATTTGAACCTAATTTCAACTCAAATAGATCACTTGAGATGAGTGGAGTTTGCGTATATGAGAAAATGCATACACGTTCCCCACTAATTCTCAACCACAAACTTACATGCCATATGACAAAAAAGAATTCACAGATAGTTTCAACATTTCAAGCACATCGAGAAGGTCAAGTTGGTGAAAAAGGCAGATATACAAGCAATTTTTTTATGCAAACAGGGTATTATGAGTCAATTTTTTGTGAAGTTACATCCATTTAACGCCATTTTTGTTGCATTTGATTTCTTGTTTATGCATGATTGAAGTCTTCGTTGGCATCACCAGCCATGGTCTCAACAATATTGATAGTGTGATGAATTTCACGTAAATTAAACATTTTGAGTTGATTTTTCATGAAATTATGTCGTCACTATCATCTTCACATGCAATCCCATCAGATGGCTTGTGGATTACATAAAGGTGTCGATATTCTAGACAATGCAAGTTGGATTTGGGATTCTTGTAAATAGAAGTTGATTGTTTTTTTTTTTTAAATGTGCAACATGGAGTATAATTTTAGTAGCAATAGTTCTAGTCGGAGGATTATGACTTTGGGCACTCAAGTCATTAATAAGAGTACATATTTTACATTTCTTGAGTCTATTCTTCAAAATGATGGTGAAATAGATGGGGATATTATTAGTAGAATTCAAGTTGGATGGTTGAAGTTGAGGAATGTATCGGGTCTATTGTGTGATTATTGTGTGATAGAAAAATATCCATAAACTTAAAGGAAAATTCTATAAGATCGTGGTAAGATCTGTAATGCTTTATGGTGCAAATGTTGGTCATTAAAAGAGAAGCATAGAGTTAAGTGCTACAGAGATGTGATTGCTCAAGTGGATGAGTGGCTTCACTCATAGAGACAAAATGTGAAATGAGTATGTGCGTGAAAGGGTTGGAGTAGCTCCAGTGGCAGATAAGATTAGAAAGAGTCGCCTTAGATGGTTTGGACATATAAAATGCCGGGCTTCCAATGACCCGACTAGGAGAGTAGATGTATTGGATTTGGCCTATGATAAGAAAGGCAAGGTCAGACCTAAAAAGACTTGGTTAGAAAATACTAGAAAGAGAAAAGGACTAAAATGGTCCTCCAACTTTTTTGGAAGGATTAAAATGGTTCCAACTATCTTGAGGGATCATTTTGGTCCCTCAACTCTTTAAAATATGATTATTTTGGTCCAAACATCCAAAATAATGGATGTTGCAATTCATGGTGTTGTTAGGGGTACTTTAGTAATTTTTTTAATTAAAATATTTATTAGATATAATTTTCATATAATTATAATTTAAAAAAAATTTATCATTTGTTTAATAAGAAAAATTAATATTATTTTTAGTTATAATTTTAATTAATATTATTTTTAGTTATAATTTTAAAAATTTAAGTCAAATTTTATAAATTATAATTGGTAAAAATATTTGTGACTAAAATGAATATTTAACTATATTTTTATAAAAACTATAATTTAAATATATGGTTATCCAATAAATTGTTACTTGAAAATTATAAAATAAAACTAAAAATACTATTAATTTTTCTTATTAAATAGTATAACTAAAAATACTTTTAAATTTTCTTATTAAATAGTTTAATTAAAATTATTAAAATACTCCTAATTTTAACACAATTAAGTCGAACATCCATTATTTTAGATGTTGAGATCAAAATGATCTTATTTTAAAGAGTTGAGAGACCAAAATGGTCCCTCAAGATAATTGAAGACCATTTTGATCATGCCTAAAGAGTTGAGAGACCATTTTAATTCTTTTCTCATATTAGAAATAACATTTTTTTTATTAAATTTAAATAAGAACTTATCTTTTAACATGACACAATGGAGAAAAAAGATTCATGTAGCTAACCCAACGTAGTGGGATAAAGGCTTGATGTTATTGTTGTAGTATGCACCATTTGAGTGTTGAAGATAAAAGTATGAATAAAAAGATGCTCCATATTTGTTCACACATTTCAATTGAGAGTTTCTATATGAGAAGTAAATATATAAACCATGAAGCTCCCTGTAATGATAAAGAGCATCGATTTCAATAGAACAAGAAAATGACAAAAGAAGAATGATCCAAAAAAAAAACATGCAGGAAAAGATATAATATGCAGCAAAACTTTCTGTAAGTCGGACTGATTTAATACAAAGTTCGGGTAGGATCCCCTGAAAAAATAAAGCTAAGCAAGATATGAAAAGGATGATCCATGCATGAATTTGCATTGAAATAGTTAAATACATGTTCCATCCATGATGAACAGTCAAGAAAATAATCATAACTAGATTCAAAGAAAATCATTATGCAAAATTGATTAAAATCTAAGCTAAACCAGAATATAATAGGTGGAGAATTTACCAGAGCACGACTAGTTTGTGGTGTGCCTGAGAATACAGTGAAAACAAAGAATACGTTAAACTAACATTTTTCTGCAATCCTAGAATTAAAGAAACTTAATAAGTGTTCAATAAATATCATACAGTCAGGCACGTAATTCTTATTGGTCAGTGAACAGCAAGAAATGAATTTAAATGCAACTTTGAACACTAACCAGAACTTCCGGTTCTTGTAGATACACCAGCAGTGTTTTCTCGAACCTCGGATGTTCCCTTTCAATTTAGGAAATGCAAGACATAAGAATTATGATTTGGACAGGTTGGACAAGGAGAATTTAAAAAGAACAAATATATTGTGCAGCATATTAAATTTTATAAGAGAAAAAAATGCCAAACTGATCCCTGAATTATTTATGGAGGGCAGCTGTTTTGAACCCAAACTACATAATGTGTCCAGTTTTGTTCATTGCCTCTCAAATCTCATCCAAAATATTCCCTTGATTTCTCAAATCCGATTCAAAAATACTTTAAAAGAGAGATTATTTTGAATCTTATATGAGAATGCAAGAGATTCAATTGAACACATTAGATAGTTGTGACTAAAATAATCTTATTCAAAGTATGCAAAGGACCATTTTAACATTTTTCTCAATTTCAAAAATATCTCAAGTAAAAAAAAAACACCTACTATGAAAATTGTTGTTTAATCATGACTAATTATCATAGTCCAATAAAACTATCAAATGCTCATAACAAAAAGGTAGATAGATACACAAGAAATATATAAACTTGTTACAATATAGAAAACCAACAAAAATATGTTCACTCTTGGAGATTAGTCTGCGAACAAGTGAAAAAATTCCAGCAAGGAGTTAGGAAAAGTTAAAAGGATTATCACAAAAACTGAAATGGCACATACATAACAATCAATTCAAGACCCAAGTGCCACTGCATGCTATGATTTTTATGAAGCGATCAATACATTTTTCTCAAGATGTTTTCTCAAATCATCTATCACATGCAATCAATCGTTCAAAGTATGGCAAGTCGTTTTAATAAGAGATTTCAGTGCGTAAAAATTTTGAAAAGCAGAAATATAGAAAAGAGAGTGCAAATTGATTTGTCATGTTTCGGTGGGCAATGAACCTACATCCACTCAAAGAGTCCTCGCGATTTATTCAACTATCCTCTCCTTCATCACCACAAGGTAAGGAAGCCTCTACCCTTCATGGGAATGGAGAAATCCTACATCACTTCAATTAAAAGCAAGAAGCCAGGCACTCCTAGCATAATCTTCTAGGTAATCAAGTTCTTACAAGATAACTTTTGAGATCTAAGATCTCTCTCTCAAAAACAATTAAAACGGGTTCTTAAAACCAATTGTACAAATGTGAGGGGTCATAAGGTGTTAAGGAGGATGACCATTGGTGTGGGATTCACTTTGTTCTCTCTAGATACTCTCTCAAGGGTTTCTCAAGTGTTACGAAGTCTCTATCTTTCGTGCTTTTCATTTAGGGTTTCATTATATAATATATCTGAATAGCCTTTATTTATTATATATTTCAACTCCTACTAATGTTTACATAACACAAATTATTACTGGTCGATCATAATATAACATCCAAATCAAAGGAAACGATTAGTCCAATCCAGATCATACTAGCTGTTGATATAATCATGTGGTTAATTAGTTTTAAAATAGAAAATAGATCATACAAAAAGATATGCATTGTACAGTATGATTAATTAAAAAATTGATCTCAATTAATATAAATTAAATATGTAGATTTAATGATATAATAAAAGTATCATATAGTATGATGACCACCATAAAATACAATTAGTTTCAAATTTAAATAATCTCAATTAATATAAATTGATCACGTTAATATATTTATGAATTAAGAAGGACCATACAGTCCTATATAATAAAAAATGATCCTAGTATTAGTTTTCATCAATCATTTTATGTTTTAAAATTAACAATTCTATTTAGCTTATTTTACATGAAATCAAGTATAATCGTAAAATACAATCAATCCTAATATTCTAAATTTTGTTTAATGTTTGCTTTAATTAATTTTCAATTATAATTTTATGTGTGCTAGTCATCTTGCATCATGAACACTTGAAAATACAATAATGCATGATTCCAAAAACAAATAAAATAATTTTGCACCTTGAACCTTGTTCTTAATTTCATTTGGGTTAACTCAAGCTAATTGAACCACTGAATTGTTTTGAGTCATGAATGTACTTCAAAATATCTATATACTCTTGGTGTATCATTTCAACATCCACTTAAAAGATATTGGCTCATACTTGTACTAATCTTAATTAGTAGTATTAGCTCATATCAAATTATACTTGTGATCATCGAAATAAAAATATAAACTTAAACAATAAGGGGTTAACACACTGCATCAGGAAAGATGCATATGGATGATATGTCATGGAAATACCTTTTTGGTTATATAAAGGGTTCAAACCCCCATCTTTGTTGGCAACTACAATGTTATTGGAATGCCTACGAGGCTTCTCCATTGTGCAAATATGATTACATTTTGCTTACTTGCATGCTTTTTTATGAACACTTTTCAAAATGCAGTTGCAGGCTTTTTTTTTTTTTTTCATTTATGAGTTCACCGGCAAGTTTATTTGTGAGCACTCGAAGTAGAAGTTCTAATGAGTAGTTCATTTTGCTCATATACTTTCTTCATTTCGATGCGCTTAGGCATGTCCTACTGGGAAGAAGCCACAAGACTAAATGGGGTCACCTTGTATGTCATTTTTTGTGTCTCATTTCAAGTCCAAAGTATTCAAGGAGAAGAAAAGACAATTATGCTCGCATTCATTGACATTTAGCCATAAACCATGCAACTCTTTTTTTTTTCTATTAATGTGACTTGTATAACATTTTTAAGAATCTATAATCTCAGTTTCGTCTTTTTTATCCATACTTTTCAGCTGTTATTATGCTTTATTAGTCACAAAATTGTGTTAGTTTATCTTCAATTGGATTTAAGTAATGCTTCCGCATCACCTCCATATAGAGGAATTGGAAAGTATGGCAGGCCTACCCACCACACGGAGATATGGATGTATGATGGTCAATATGGTTGATATTTGTCTTACAGTGCATCAAAAAAAGGTGTATAAGTGGTGCAAGGGCAATTGGATAAGTTATCTCCATGTCCAACACGCCAAGAAATGCATGTAGGGGTGTTTTGGAGTTCCCTACACAAGAAAGAACAAAATAATATAATAGAGTTTCGCAATCGCATCAAGAAAGTCGCTTGCAGGTGTTACGCTTGCAGGTGTTATGCAAGCGGCGAGGTCACTCTATATACCTATGCAGAAATGTAGGGAGGATTTTAGAGACAGCAAGCTGCTGCTGCTGGTGGATGTTGAGTGGTGTATGCAATTTTGGAGAAGAGAAACATCATGTAGAAGAGGGTTTACACATGTGAGAATGTTAGACCAGTCCAGCCGGTTCGACGGGACCGGCTTACGCGACAAAGGTGGACATTCCGCCTCCTATACATGTCGAACGCACGCCCGGGCATGCGTGTGATATTTAGGAAGGATTTTTTTGGGTAGTTAGGAGGGAAATTTGAATGTAGGGACTGTGTAGGGATTTCCTTTTGATTTGTATGCATTAAATAGTTTGTTTTCCTAGGGTTAGGGCATCTTGAATTTGGCTAAATTTGAGATCTCTTGGGTTTAGGTTTCTTTTGGTCTCTAGAGACGTCTAGAGAATCGAGAGTGATCCTCCTCTCAAATTGAGGATCACTTGTATCTTGTTTGCTTTTTCTTCAGTTAATTGATTTTTCTCAATAAAGTGGGTTGTTTTTCTTTGAATTTTCCACTGCTTGTTGAGTATTCTCGCTGATTTTGTCAAGATCGTTGGGTTTCATTTGAGATCTTCAAATGTTTCCTTTCAAATTGGTATCAGAGCAATTTCCTGGCCAGAAATCGAAGTCTCCTCGCCAATTTCTACTACGTTTCACTCACCGAGCCGCTGTTTTTTACTATTTGAAGGCTAGAAACTGCTTTTTCCGTTTTTGTCGTTTGGAGCCTAGATCTGAGTACCAATGGTAGGGAAAAAAGGTAGAATTATTGGAAGGGGAGAACAGACAATTGAAAACTAAAATTTCATATCTCCACACTCAACTTTCATATGTCAAAAGTCAAATTTCAGCCATCCACGAGAAGATGAATGGGAATTTTTTCAGTCTTGGGGAGATGATGAAGAAGTTGCTCGAGGGCCAATCCAAAACGACATCTTCAGAGGCAAGTGAAGCCTCTGGTAACCTAGGAAGCGGCGAAAACTCTAATCCAATAAGGCGAAAAGAATATCAAGAGGTGGAGAATTAAAAGGGAAAAGAAAGAATGCCTCCCCATGAGCATGTTCCTATGGGGGAGCCGGGTAGGGGATATGGAGAGAAGTGTGAGGAGGTGGAGCAAGAACGAAGATGTGATGATTTGGAGAGGAGAGGGGCGGAATTTAGAAGGGAAAGTGGTAATTACGACCAAAGGGGGACTGCATCTGAAAGGGGAGGGTTTGTTATGATACAAAGGGTGCTTAATTTGAAAGGAGGTGGGAATTTGATGAAAGGCTTGGTTATGAATGTAGAAGGGATGATTGAGACACTTGGGGGGAACCATGCTCTTGAAGAAGAAATTAAGAAGGCAACAGAGGGAACAGAGGCGATCTGAGGATGAGGAAGCTGAATATGTCTATTTTTGAGGGAGAGGATGCTCATGGATGGATCTACAAGTTGGAAATGTACTTTACCGTCAACTTGTTGACGGAGGTGGGGAGAGTAATGGCAACCGAGATGTTCTTGGAAGGGAAAGCTTTAGCATGGTACCAATGGAGGGATACGAGGTGACCAATAAGGACCTGGAGGGAGTTTAAGGATTGCTTGTTGGAACGTTTTCAAACCAACAGAGAAGGGGACTTCTACAAGAAGTTCTTCGCTTTCATGCAGAAGGGGATAGTGATGGAGTACCGTGAGCAATTTGAGTACATTGTCAGTCGATTGGATCGGCTTCCAAAGACTGTGCTGGAGGGAAACTTTATGAAGGGACTGAAACCAAAGATCTGCGCAGCAATTAGAGTGATGAGACATCAGGACTTGGGAGAGTCTATGGAGCTAGCTCAATTGGTAGAGGATCAGAGGCATCTAGAAAAAGGAGCAGGAGTCAGCAGTTCAAGAGGCTCGTACATGATGGACACCACCTTTTTGGCAAGCAAGGAGCCAACACCGGGTACTCTTAGGGAGAATTTGATGGAGAAGACTGCCAAAGAAAAACCTTAGGACAACTTTAAGAAGCTCACATAAACAATTTCAAGAGAAGAGGGCGAAGGGGATCTATTTCAGATGTGATGAGAGGTATACGTTGGAGCACAGGTGTAAGGACTGAACTCTTCAGGTTCTTACTGTTTGTGATGAAGAAAGAATGGAGGAGGGTGTCGTCTTTTCACCTTGAGGACAAGGTGGATCTTTGGGAGGGGAGTATTGTTAGACCGGTCCAGCCAGTCCGACAAGACCGGCTTACGCGAATAGAGATGGACATTTCCGCCTCCTGTATGCATCGAACGCACGCCCGGGCATGCATAGGTTGTTTAGGACGGATTTTTGAGAGAGTTAGAAGGGAAATTTGAATGTAGGGACTGTTTAGGGATTTCCTTTTGATTTTTATGTATTAAATAGTATGTTTTCTTAAGGTTAGGGCATCTTGAATTTGGTTGAAATTTGAGATATCTTAGATTTAGATTTTTTTGGGCTCTAGTGGCGTTTAGAGATTTGGGAGATTGATCCTCCTCTCGAATTGAGGATCAACTGTATCTTGCTATTTTCCATTTCTATTTCATCAAATAATACAAATTCTCTACTATTTTCGTGATTTTTTGTGGATTTTGTGGAGAATTCGCGCAGTTTTCTGAGGATTGATAGGAAATACTTGAGATCTCCAAGTGTTTCCTATCAGAGAAGTCAATTTAATGAGATATTTTTTATTATATATGTTTTTCATATATTTATTTGTTTATTACTATTCTAATTATTCTAATTTTATGTTTCTATTTTTATTTTAATTATAATGTTTTTACATATATTATTTTTATATTTTTATTTGATACTATCATAATAATTATAAGTGCATGTGCAAACTCTTCCGAGAATTTTCTTGTCTCTTGAAAGTGAATTTTCTGTCCTCTCCCCACATGGAATCTCTACTTGATGCATAGGACTTTATGAACCTTTTCAACATTTTGTACTCATCAAAATTAACCATTTTGAAAATCATGTGACTATTTTACACATTATGTGCATATTTCTCATGAATTTATAATTGTTCTCTATCATTATCATAACATTCAATCATGTTTGCTTTTCAAACACATATTGGGGTCAACATAGAAATAAAAAAGTTTTTATTTAATCAATCCTATGAAACTTATTACTATTCCAAAAATATTTAGGGGGAAATTATCATTCTAGAATAAACATGGGAAATATATTAAAAGGCTTACATTGTTTTAGTACTATCCATCTAATCAATTTCATGAAGTTAAAACTATAAGTGTGTAAAAATTAGTAACTCTATTGATTTATATTGATTGAGGTAGAATTACTTTGATCTAATTGAGGTCATTTATAGAATAAAATAAAATGGTTATACAATGTGCTTTTCAACACTATCGTTGTTAAGTCCTAAGTCCTATATGAGAAAAGTGGAGAGTTGCATTAGGTAGTCGACAGCCAACGTAAAACTTATCGAATAATCATAACATAAATCTTTTAATACATTATGTTAATGCTAGGATGTTTCCTGAAAGCGATATGCAGTATAACCTGAATATCGTGACAACTGTACAATGGTCACTACACGTCTGCACCAACGCCCAAGTGCACTGTTAAATACGCAAGAGTTCTCACATCATAAACAAACGTGGGCAAAAAAGCTAGTCCATGAAACTAAAATTAAGATAGAAACTTGGAATATAGATTCTCTTATAGGTAAATTAATAGAATTAATAGATATTATGATTCATAGAAAGATAAATATTCTATACATTTAGGAAACTAAATGGATTGGAGAGGCTAAGGAGAATGATAGTTTATGATTTAAACTATAAGAGTCTGGTAAGAGCCATACTAGAAATAGTGTATGTGTGATTATAGATAAGAGTTTAAAGGATAATGTTGTAAAAATTAATACAAATTGAGATAAAATTATAGCTTTAAAAATTATTGTTGATATTAAGATTATTAATATTACAAGTGCTTATGTTTCTAAGTAGGTTTGAATATGTGTTCAAAATTAAAAATTTTAGAATAACTTAAAAGAATTAATACAAAAGATCTTTCTCGAAGAGAAATAATTTATTGGAGTAGATTTAAATGGACATGTTGGTAGAGAGGTAGATGATTTTAAAAATATTCATGATGGCTATGAATTTGGAGCGACTAATGAAAGTGATAAGATCATATTAGATTTTTCTTTAGCTTATAATTTTATAATTATTAATACCTTATTTAAGAAAAGAGATGAGCATCTCAACCCTTATAAGAATGGATATATTGAAACTAAAATTGATTATTTTCTCATAAGAAAATTAGATCGTTTAGATTGCAAAGATTGTAAAATTATTCCTAGTGAAAGTTTATGTACCCAACATCACTTATTAGTTTTGGACTTTAAGATGAAGAGGCAGAAAATAAAAAATAAAATAAAACGTTGTTCTAGGATTAGATGGGGGCTTTTAAAAATTATTAACAAAAATATTTTTAAGAGTAAGATACTAGATCTTAAGATTTTGTTTGTGCATGAGGAAACTAATGTTATATGAAAAAAAATAGTTAATAATATTAAGAATGTTGCAAAAGATATGATTGAAGTATCAAAGAAAAAAGTTCCTGATAGTAAAAATAGTTGGGGATGGAATCAAAATATGCAAGAAAAGATAAAAAAATAAGAAAATTTGTTATAAAAATTGATTTAGATGTAAAAATTCTGATAATTAAAAAAATATATGAAGAGGCTCATAAGGAGTCTAAGAAAACAATACGCGATGAAAAAATATTAGCTCGTAATGATTTATATAATAAATTAGATACAAGCAAGGGTGAAAGATACATGTATAAGTTAGCCAAACAAAGAGATAAGAATACTAACGATTTAGTTCAAGTGAAGTGTATTAAGGATGAAAATCAAAAAGTGCTTTTATTAGAAAAAAAATTCAGCAAAGGTGGATAGGATATTTTTTTAAACTTTTCAATGAAAATTATGAGAATGCGATTGACTTTAATGACCTTAACACCCTAAATGAAAATAAAGATTTTTTTTTAATCGGCATATTAGCAAAACTAAAGTTAGAGAAGCTTTAAAAAAAATGAAGTGTGAAAAAAGCTACTGGACCTAATGATACTCCAATAAAGGTGAGGAAATGCTTAGGAGATGAAGGAATTTCTTGGCTCACTAAACTTTCTAATATTATTTTGAAGACAAAATATGTCAGATAAGTAGAGAATGAGTGCGCTGATTCCTATTGTAAAGAATAGAGGTGATGCACAGAATTGTGCGAATTATAGAGGAATTAAGTTAATGTGTCATACTTTAAAATTATGAGAGAGAATTATGGAGTATAGGTTGCAGCGTGATACTAATGTTTCTCAAAATCAATTCTGATTCATGCCGAGTAGGTCTACTATGCAGGATTTGTTACTTGTGTTCAAACGTACACAAGATGGTTTGACCAAGTATTTTCCTATTTCAGTTGGATTACATCAAGGATCGGCTTTAAGCTCATACTTTTTGCTTTAGTTATGGATGTTCTCACTAGACATTTGCAAGAGGTTATACCTTGTTGTATGCTTTTTGCTGATGATATTGTTCTTGTTGATAAGACTAGAGAGGGAGTTGAAGGTAAACTTTAATTATGGAGGCCAACCTTAGAGTCTAAAGGCTTTCATTTGAGTAGATCTAAAACTGAATATATTGAGTATAATTTTAGTGATAATAAATCTAGTGACGGAATTGTGACTTTGGGTGATCAAGTCATTAATTAGAGTACACGTTTTCAATATCTTGGATCTAATGTTTGGAGTGATGGTGAAATAGATGGGGATATTATTAGTATAATTCAAGTTGGATGGTTGAAATGGATGAATGCATCAGGCTTGTTGTGTGATAAAAAAAGTCCCTCTCAAACTTAAGGGAAAATTCTATAAGATGGTGGTTATACCTACAATGATTTATGGTACAGAATGTTGGCCATTAAAAGAAAAGCATAATATTAAATTAAGTGTTGCAGAGATGAGGATGCTCAGGTGGATGAGTGGTTTTACTCTTAGAGACAGGATACGGAATGAGCATATACGTGAAAAGGTGGGAGTAGCTGCAATGGAAGATGAGATTAGAGAGAGTCACCTTAGATGGTTTGGTCAGATAAAATGATGGCCTTCCGATGACCCGGTTAGGAAAGTAGATGTATTAGATTTGACTTATGTTAAGAAAGGTAGAGGTTGACCTAAAAATACTTGGTTAGAAAATATTAGAAATGGTTTCTTTATTATATTTAAATGAGAATTTAAATCTTAAAAAGACACAACGGACAAAAATGATTCATGTAGCCGGCCCCACATAGTGGGATAAAGGCTTGACGTTGTTGTTGTTGTTTGTTGTTGAATGTGTTTTTCATCCAATGGACCACTCAATAGAAAAACCAATATTTGATAACATATTTTAAATTTAAATTTAATTTACTGATCTGCATGCAACGCACGTGACTCTTAGCTTGCATCTCAAAATTATGTTTTAAAAGGATGGTCACAGTCAGACAAAACTCAAAAGTAAAGATCTCTATGAATATCATTAAAAATCAAGGATATAATGTGTAATACATACCTGTGTATTGTCTTTCCATGCACTAATCTAATTAATAAAGTGAAACCAAAACCTTACCTGAACCAGTTTCCGTTCTTGATTTGACTTTTGGGCAAGGAACTTGCTCAAAATGCTGAACTTACCATTAAACGATATTGTGGTTTCAAAAACTATTATGAATTGCATAAAAACACAAGAAATAGGAAAGGAATAACATTAAGAAAAATCGAATGCCCCTGATGAGGAAGAACAAAGCTCAACTGGATTAATTCCCATCCCAAGAGAAGCCTGTTTCAGTCTTTCTTCATCAAGAATATGTGAAGGGATATCTTTCTCTACAAAAATATTAAAAAAATAGAATTTAATGTAACATTAATCATGATGTCAGAAAAATAATTAGGTTTCAGCAATTAATGCATATATGAGAGATAAAATATGATACAAAAAGAAACCTATTCCACTGAAAATTAATCCTAAGAAAATAGTTATCAACCTTGTAGGAATGGCACAGAAACCTCTCCACCACCCAGTCTTAAGACATTCTCCTTCAGATCAATTATACACTGCAGAGTCATGAAATTATTATCAATTTACAAGAAGGGAAAAAGTATCAGAAATCATGCATGTCAAATAGTTACCTGATGCTTTCTTAGCATGTCAAGACCAAACAGAAACTCCATGTTGGGAGCATCCAACACAGTGAATGAACACGGGAAAAACAAATGACCAATCTGCCAAAACATTACCAGCAACATAGGATGAAGTTGTCTCGAAAAAAAGTTCAAAAGTTGCCCTGCTCATATGAATGATGTAATATCGAATGCACAGAAGAGTAAATTAAGACATCTATATACCAGAAAGTAAATAAAATCTACAGCATTTGTAAAATCGAATTAGGAAGCTGATATTGCTAATGTCATTAAGTAGCTTTCAATAAAACAATTTTGACAAAAAGGCATACTGTTCAAATGTAGCAGTGAAATGAGTTCCAATACAAAAGAAGCTAGAGTAGGTTAACCTATTAGGCATGCTTAATTCTGTTGGTGAAACTTTATCATTCATCCTTAATAGATTGAGTTATTTTATGATCGAGCACGGCATAAAAAATATTTATTATCCCGAATGATTAAAATATTATTTCGCTATGGACTTAATCATAAAACTCACAATTTTATATTTTAACAGAGATTTTCCCCTATTCAGCATTTGATTGAATAGAGTTTATTTTATTCCGAGGTACGGATGCCCCATAGGGGCACTATGGTTAATTATATCTCAAGCATTTGTTACTTAAGAACACTTTTGATTAAACTAGTGATTTATTTATAGCCATTAAAACATTGGCTAATACTTTTGCTATTGATTTTAAGAATTTCTTGTTCAAAGATTTGGTCTTCAAAAATTTCAAGGGAGATGTGATCAACTTTAAATCAGATTTTAGGAATGAAAGCCAAAGGGAGGAAAATGTAGAAGCACATGATGAGAAACTCATAAGTGCTCAAAATATCCTATGTTGGGCTTTATATTTTGAAATTAGATTTTTGTTTGAATTGAACAACTTGATTTAGAAAGTTGGGGCATATTTTCCAACAACTCAAGTCGAAGGAAATGCCCAGACTGTGAGGGCTTATAAGTCGACTGGAGTCAACATCAGCCTCAGAACCTAGATCTAAGGTGAGGACTACAGAGAGATAATACCTCGAACCTAAATCTAACGGAATGAAGTTGATTTTCAAACCTACACATCACTTGAGGCTAAGTCAACCCGACCTCTAGACTTACAATCTTGCCTGGAAAGGGCCGCCAGCTAATCCACCAAAAATATTTTTAAAAGCATGAGGTTTGATCTCAATACATATGCAAGATAGGTGATGTTATTTTGATTTAGAACATAGGGCTTACAACTTAGTTTTTGGGCCAATATGTCTTACCATGAAAGGTATGTAGATGCTAATTTATTAAATGCAGATTATTTTATCTAGTACTTATGTGAGAGCATTCTGCATGAGACATATGTATGATTATTTTAATTTTTTAATTGAAAATGTGGCTTATTTGAGTTAGTCATGCAATTTTAATAAAAAAATACAAGTTATCTTATGGTTAATTTTTTCTATTTAGATCTTTTAATTGGTAGAAATCTTAATTTTATCCTAAGAGCATATCGTACAACACATGTCCAGGCCACCTCCAAGCAAAATAAATAAATAAACAAACTTAGGAAAAAGCATACATTTCTAATGCACACTCAGTAAACAAAACAATCATATGTGTACATATATAAAATCAACCAACATGCAAGTAAAGTATTGTCCAAATTATTACAATTATGCGTGGTAGCTGAGTTGTCTGTCTTATACAATCGAGTAACATTTTTTTACTGACTCAACTGTGGGTCTTTAAGCTTTGGCTTTTAGATGCATCCAAGGCTTCACCTACGGGATTCATCCTTTTGGTTCATCTCTCATGTAATTGTATCCCACAAGCTTCCAATACTTTCTACGTCTATCAAATACATTTTAAAAAATAAAAATACTAAAACCAATAAAACAGGAGGGTTTAGGAAGCATTTAATATGAAAGAAAGAAAAAATCTTAAGAGTTGTCTGGTACTTAAAGAGTCAAGCCCTATTTCTATCATAATGGCCATACCTCCTTAGGAGTTTGCTTATGATTTATTTAACCCCTTTTTGGACATGGTCGCCTGCAAAAAAAAAAATCTCTATCCTAGTCATTTAAGGGCAAGTGCCCACAACATAGACAATCTAATAGGCATCACACCAAAACATAGCCACATGCACAGAAAAGAAAAATCATAATCCTAGCATGCCTAAGAAATGTGCACCTAAGTGTGTGCTAGCTGTGTGGTATGTCACACTACAAATGGTGTCTTATTTTATTATAGAATGGAGATGCTTAATTTTAATCCATAGGTGGTTTCAACTTATGTTGTTTGTGACTTAAAATTATTATTTGATTTTTAATGTTTCATATTTAGGAGGGTTGTGAAGAACCCATAGAGCAATCACTTCTTGCTTTGAGGAAAGCATATTGCTTATGAAATCTTAAGATCCAATGATACAGGCATTCCACCTTTGGGGTTGAAATGACTTATCATTGTATCAAAAGGAAACTAAATGATTTTTAGATTTTTTTTAGTGTTCTATTAATGCTTGGATAAGAGGGAGATGTTTACCTAATAGAGTTAAGTGAACATGCCTAAGAGTTTGGCTTAGAACTTCATGAAATTCAAATAATTGGATAAAATAAATTTCAACATATTGAGACACATAGGGAACATCTAAAGGTTTACATTTTAAATGTCATGAGAAGGAGATGTCACTTACTTTCTCAAGTGATAGGATACTTTAAATTTGGGTCTAAGTAGAGGAATCATCTACTTAATTAGAGATCAAATAGAAGGATTTTGGCTTTGAGGCCAAAGGAAAGAAATGTTCACTTCAAAGCTAAGGGATGAAGGAAATTCCCTACAACTTTGAGGATGAGGGAAAATGATAGGAGACCTATAGCCTTTGGGCTAAGGTGTTGGAAAGCTCTCTTTAGCTTTTGAAGCTAAGGAGAAGGGAATGAAGCCTATAGCTTTTGGGCTAACATTGGGAAAGAGGATATCCAACTTAAAACTTTTATACTAAAGGTTGGAGAGTTCACTTCAACTTTGAAGCTAATGAGAAGAAAATTTAACTCATAGCTTTATGGAAAAGGAGTTGAGAAATTTTCTAGGACTTTTGGAGTTCATAGAAATGATAGAAGATTTATAGCTTTGGGGCTACAAATCAAGAGGGTCTCTTTGAATTTTCACATTCAAAAAGAATGATTCATTTGCTTAATTTGGGCTAAGCAAATGAAAGGAGCTAGCATTTTGAATCTTATGTTTATGTTTGATGGCACCAATTGATTTTGGCTCAATAGGTGAGTTGGTTGGGCTTAAGTTTGATCCCTAAAGTTTGTTAATGTTCTCCTAAGCTCTCCAAAAGTCATCTGGGAACTTTTATATGAGTTTAGAAAGGACACTAAACAAAGAAATTGAAAGATTTCCTATGACTTTCGGGCTAAGAACAATGAGGAGATTTTTTACATTTTTTTTAACTTTATAGAAAATAGAAGAGGAATATGCAACTTAGAGTTGCAAATTAATTATCACTCTTTAAACCTTTGGTGTTCAAAGAGAGGTAGTCATTTACTTGATTTGGTGCTAAGCATATAGAGAAGACTAGGATTTGATTCATGTCTAGAGGAATGATCATTTGTTTATTTTGTATCAACAAATGGGACTGACAACTTAGGATTTGGTCCTAAAATCCAATGATTCATGTTATGATGTATTTGAAGTCTTGGGAGACTTTAAATCATCATGCATAAAAGAGGGAAGGATGATTTTTTGTGGATTTGGTGTTTCAACAGATGAGATAGATCGTCTAAGATTTGGTTTTAAGCTCCTAAGGTTCAATGATTCATGTAATAGGATATTTGGAGCCTTGGAAAGGCTCAAAATGCCACACATGAGGGAAAATGACACTTGAAAGAGAGCTCCCTATTTTGATTTTGAATGTTTTGAATTTTAGTAGTGATCATTTAGATAATCTTTAAGCAAGCTTTGGAGATCAATTTTGGCATAATCTAACAATCCTAAGAATATACTGAGTGATTTCTCAAATTTAAAAATTCTACCATATCGTGATTGTTACAAACTTTGTAAAACACCAAACTTGTATTTGATCAATTTGATTCGTTGTAGGCTTTGCAACACAAGCCTTTGAAACTTGTAAGAAACCCTACAATGATTTAATGATCTTTTAAATCAATCAAACACATTTTTGAGCTTTCAACAAAGTTTTAGAGAATCCGCCAACCTTACCAAATGCAAACTCCTACAACTTATATCAATTTTGTCATAACACAAGCATTGGGTAGGAAAATATGTAACTTGCAATATTTGGAGAACATACAAGCCATACAAGCCAACATTTGATTTGAAATTAAACAACATCTAACCTAGGGTTTGTTTGTAGGTAACAATATTGGGCACAATATGAGTACGAACACACGCAATGGGAGGTTAATGAACATTGATCCAACAACCCCACATGCACCGCATCCTCCTTGGGCTCTCACATGAGAGAAAACAGTGGAAATCGTCGGATTTCCACTGTTTTGCAGCGAAGACATCAAATATAGGATTTATTGTGGGCATTAGAAAATAAAATGTGGGATTTATAAGGACCTAATGGCTTGGGAGCGTCAACCACATCCATAAGGCTTAGAAACCTAGGGGTTTTGCTAAGTTAGGAATTTTACCTCACTGAAACAAGGGTCCGACTCTAGCCTACTTGCTCTCACCCTGAAAAGACGAGATAAATTGAAGAATGGAGAACAAGCTCGTTGTTTGAATGTTTTCAAACGTCGCTTCCGCTGGCACGAGTTCATGAGTTGGTGGATGAAGGAGATGCCTCTTCCTTCACTGATTCAGGACATAAGGAACTGTAACAGCTCCTTACTCTTGATTTTGGAACAAGGAAGTGCACAGTGACAACTTTCTATGGGTTTTGTATTTAGAGATCGAATACAGTAGCCTAGAGTCGTTGATATGGTCATCGGAGGGAGGAAAGCATGCACAAAATTCCAATAGACAAACTCCGTACTCATATCAGCCAAGGTTACACACGAGAGGCCTCAACCTCTGGATTTCAGTTCAAGAAACACACGAGCTGCTCAACCACCTCGCTTCTGTGCTCGGTTCGGCTCGGTCCATAAGCATGAAGATGATCATCTCCTTCGGTCGCATGCAGAGGCGTGTATGATCCTGCTCAATTAACTACCAGCAGTGCGCACAGGAGCACCTCTCTTGCTCTTCCCCTGTTCGTTTGGATTGGACGCACGCACAACAGGCTGCAACCTCTCAATTAAGGACCGCCGCTCGACTTCCCTTCCCAGGTCGGACGCGTAGCGAGAGAAGCAGCTCTCTCACCCACTCGTATGGAAGACAACCCACACACGAAGCTCTCTCCCTCTCTCGTCTCCTTGTTCTCAGTTTGGACGCACATAAGACTCCCCCGCAGGCCCTCTTTCTCTCTCGATTTTTTTTCGTATAGAAGAAAACGAGAGACCTCTCAATACACCGCTCAATACTCTGTTATAGCCGTCTGTATCCACTCAAGGAGATTACGCAATTTGACTAAAAAAGCAATGATACAGGCTTCGAATTCCAAGGGGATCTCAGCCATTAGATGCAATTGCTTGATTTGGAAAGTCTATTTGAATTCAAATTGAGATATTGGGCTCGATTTGAGTTCAAATCGAGCTCAATTTGAATTGATTTGAATCGATTCAAACTGATTAAATTCGATCAAGTTAATTTTATGTAATTTGACTCAAATTGATTTGATTTGATTTATTCTGGGTTTAATTGAGTTTAATTGGACTCAATTTGGGTCCAATTTGAGTCAATTTGGGTTCAACGAGATTCAATTGAGTTAATCGAGTTCAATCAAAACCAATCGGGTGTGATTCGACTCGACCCGAGTTGAGTCGGCACAAAAAATGTGTCAACAAATTCACGTGTAAACTTCCTTTTGAAGGACAAATTGGACTATTGACATAAAAAATAGTTATATGTGGGTGGCAGGTTTTGGAAAGGATGATGGGTTGGTAAAATATGCACAATTGGAATTGTCGATAACTTCAGTATAAAGCATGATGAGTAGGTGAAATACAGATATGGAATTATGTTGAACTTAAATATAAGGTTATTATGTTAGAGGAATGTAGAAAGTAGAAACTACATAGAATAAGGCATAAACTGAAGTGAAGGGAAGGATAATTACACGAAATATAGAATAGAATGCAACAGTGGAGCATAGAGATGAAAAAGAAGACTGAAACTGATAGATAACCATATTTTTTATTAAAGAAAGGCCTTGTTCATTCGCACAACAGTATGGTGATGGGTAAGCACCTTCAGTTGAATTCATATATGCATCAAATAAAAAACATACTGACCATGATAAAGTTATTATTTGATTAATGCAGACAACTAATTTGATTCGTAATGACAAACAAAGAGCCAAAGGTCGAAGAAGCCCATTGTGAAACGTTCTTCAAACAATGTAGGATAAAATTTCAAAGTTGAAACAAATTATAATCATGCCTTGATTGGAGCAACATGTATGCGGCCAAGAATTTCTGATTGGCCAACCCCAACCGCAACTCCCCTGTACCGCTGATCCAAGAGTCTTAACAACCTGGGCATGCAATAGAATACAACTTAGGAAGAGCCTATGAGTATATTTTTGTGCAGTAAAAGACTGGAAAACTTGGCAATACTGCATGAGCAAGAAATTTGTTTTGAACAAAGTTCTGATCTACTTTAAGTTGTCAAAATGAACAAAGTTGCTCAAGTAAATTATAACTCGTTTAAAATTCAAGGATTATTGATGGCCTTCTGCTGGAAATTCTCATTTAAAATGAGCAAAAAAGAACTCTCATTAAGCATAACTTAGCCTAGATACTTGATAGTGACAAAAATAAGTGGTATAGAATATGAACTGGCATTAGATAGAACAAATCCTCAAATTGAACTCAACAAAAATGGAGTAAAAGTTCTTAAATTTCAATGAGAAACAATCAGCCAGTATGCTACTAAAGTGAAACACGAGAGCAAGATAGAAGAAAGGAGCGAAATAGAGCAGAGGAGTGTAAAAATGAATAATTTGTACTAAGTTCATATTTTTTTCAAAATGAAATTTTATCTGATTCATAATCATGTCCTTATTTTGTTTATATTAAAATCAATTGTATTTATAATTGTGTAGGTTGCCTTTGTTGCAATAAAATTAAAATTATCTTTAGGGTATGGATGAAATTTCCAACAATAAATCAACTAAGAAGCGAAATATCAGTTGAAAATTACCTGCAACAAATTCACTAGTAATAACTGTCAGATGTTGTATCGAAAACCTCCGACAATATAGCCACAAAAAGTCTCTTACGACATAGTCACCGAGCAATGAAAGCCACTGGAAAGTACAAATAGAAATCGAAGAGCAACACTATCAATAGCTGCAAGCGATTTGATCCATTGGAATGCCTTTTTATAGTAGATTTCTTGACATGGGAATCCATTTTCAGCTGGGTAATTACTGCCAAATAGATTTCTACCTAAGACTTGACAAAAATATGGTCTACCAACAAACTTTCTTTGTAAAAAATAAGTCATTTTATTGTAGTGTTAAAACTCAACCGACATAGAAGCATTGCCCATAAATATATGCATAGCCATAACAGCACTCCATTAATCCCAAAGCTATTATCCCCACCAAGCTATTAATCTGACTTATAATTGCCAAAAATGCGACATCACTCGTCAATGTCACACTCAATCCTTGACATTAACACACATTGAGTTGTTAGATATCCTAAGGACATTTCTTGTGACGATGTTGAGAATCATGATCATAAATTTAATGAGGATCTCATCCATTGGCAATCATGATAATCTGTTGATCATGAGATGTTTTAACAATCCTATTGCTAAAGACTGAATACCTCCATCTTTAATACCTGTGCAACCTATTATAGCAAACATTTCTGTTCAATCATAGAAGGAGGTAGTAAAATAAAAAATATTACCAAGGTGACCTTGCCTTCGGTTAAGCTCACACTTAACCCACATCCAGTCATACTCAAGTCCCCTAGATTAATTAGACCTCTCATACTGTCATGTGCTCATTCAACTAGGTAGCTATTGTGTCAATATTTAATGTGATTTGTTAGTCATCGATATAGCACACATCATATTGTGTCAACCCAATCTTTATGATTTTAATGTTAAACACTAATAGTATCATAACATCTATATCTTTAAACATCAAGAAAAGAAAAATTCATCTACTGCCCTCAAAGCCCACGAACCTTAGTCTTCACCTTCTTATTTGAACAAAAAACACATTGAGACTAGCACAATGTAGGTACATATTCCCTCTTACAATCAGCAAATCCCAATAACCCTCTCAGCTCTGCACCTCCTTCGACCAAAAACATACTAAGACTAGCAAAATGCAAGAGCAAATTTAGTCCCAGGAGCTTGAATTTGTACAAGATTATCAAGAGTTTGAATTTTTGTTTTGCTAGCTTTCAAGTAATCTTCTAATACTAATGAGGAGCCCCCATTGATGCTCTTAGCTAGAGATGGCCTTGATCTTACTTTTAAAAACTTACCTTTGAAGTTACCTCCCATGTAAGATCTCCAACATCATATTGACTTCGTCCCAATATCTCTACTTTTCAATCTCACACGCTACCTATGGGCTCCAAAAGTTCGCTTCCCAACCTCCGCGCCTTCTTCTGTTGATGGGGGGAGTCTTAGTGGATTTATGTTCCAAGGTAAATTTTCAGAAGGCAAATTGGGTTTTAGATAAGAACTAACCAGAGATTTCACCCTTATCGTTAATTACTCCTCCCGATAACGAGAGAGAACTTTCGATTAAGGCTAATTGTTAAATAGGTCAATAACTACCTAACGTATAATAACAACAATTTTAAGATTTGAATTTGGTTTTGAATTTTGGAGTTTAAGATTTGAAATTTATCACCATATACTTAAAGCGGGTGATGAGGAAATGATGATGGACCCGATCAAGATATCATGGTTCCGTTGTCCTGGGTTGTCATAACCCCTGATCTACTAAGTCAAAAGAGGTAGTCAACCCAACCTGACAAAAGAAACCTTGTCGATAACCATGGGTTGCTTCATTCAAGAAATACCTTGTAGATCAGGGGTGGATGTTTGTGTAAGATGACGAATTTAAGTCAAAATTAGTTAACATATGGCATTATATATGATAAAGTACACCCTATAATTCATTACTCAATGGGCTTTTAGTCATTAGAGAACATACGAGCTTTGACCGTGACCGCAATATAATTGTGTCATTTTGCAGCAAAACCATCCGGTCAAAGGGCAATGTGCCACGTCCCTACTGGTCATTAATCAACTGAAAATGAATTGTAATAATACATTGCACAAGACATCTACTCTGTGAGAGCTAAAGTTATTCTCCAATTTATCATCATCATCAAACTGTTGTGAAGTGTTGATGAATTTTAGCTTTAAGTTTTTGTGATTAAATTTTTATTTAAAAGTTTAAAATTTGATAGATATTAGATTTTAAAATTTTAATATGCTTTGAGAATTAACCCATCAGGTTGAGATTTACATTCAATGCGGCAATCATCAGAGTGATTCTGCAATCACTTTAAAAGATTTGTATTTCCATTAAGGTTCATAGTTATTTTGAAAGGAAAGGCCCCCTCCGGTTGAGTTCAATCAACACGGCTATCATCGAGGTAACATTATAATCAACTTTCAATATATTTGTATTTTCGTAAGAAGTTGGAGAGCATTTAAAAATAAGAGGTCCCCTCCGGTTGAGATTCATTTTCAACACGACCATTATCGGGGTGTTTGAATACTTTTAACTAATCCACGAAGCATTCCCAGATCTTGCTTTTAGGAGCTTCACATGAAGATCGGAGCACATGCAGAACTAAAAGAGTAGTGATAGTTTTATTAGACACACATGAGAAGCCATTAATGATGGACAAAATAGCACTTCTTAAAAAACCCAAAAGTTCCAATACTTGGGATTTCTTGTTGTTGACTTGGTCAGGCAAATCGATTAAGCAAGTTGAATAAATAGAGCATAGGATGATCACGACATTGAAGGTTGCTTGTGTAGAATAAACAATTGAATGAATTGGAACCCGTTTGAGCGATAAGTAATGATGTTTAGACTGGTTCTATCTTGTCAAACATATGACAAAGTAATTAAATAGTTGTGGAGTTTTTGACAGACACTCTAGCATAAAAGAGCCTTGAGTTTCATATATCCTGATATATGACAGATTTTTTAAGACAGCATCAAGAGGCTTTAACAAGAAATATGTTCTCAGCAATTCCAAAGGATATTTGCAAGTACCAAACAAGCAGCTCTATTTCATTGCAAATATCAGAAGATTGAAAGGAAATATCCTGATTTTTAGATTTTATGCAACTCTAGTTTCACTTTCTCATTATCCTCAAAGGCGTATTCACCTCTTTGATCAATATTTTTAGGAATGTTGATGTTGTGAGGAGGAGCAAACTGAGTTATGGATTCATCAAAATACAGATTTGAAAAGTGCACTTCAAGATAGCTAGTGTTTTGCAAGTCCTTCAATCGCCCTTTTCTTCTGATTACAAGAACTCACGCTCATAGGAAAATGTTGACTTTGTTTTGCATCAGGAGGCTCTGGCGATGCTAATTTTTTAGGTATGACAGTTAATATGCAAGTATCTTGAGATGCAAATTCATTTGTAGCTGTGCTGCTTGATAAGGAAAAAGGTGCTCCTAGAAATTGATGGAATCTTTGGATATCCGATAAATTTCCCACTTTAGTATCAGAAGGTACTGTAGATGCAAATTTTGCAGGCATAACTGATAATATTCCAATATCCTGTGAAGCTAATCCATTTGAAGTATTACCACACGAGGTTGGGAACTCTGAAAATTTTATGTAAGTTTTGGAAAATTGGGAAATGTTCCACCCTACAAGCGTCTTTCCTAGTGCTTCTGATATCTTCATCAACAACCATGGGTAAATCTGGACTGCTTCCCGGGGAGAATGATTGAGACCTTAAGTGATTCAGAGGTTTATTTTTAGAATCGTTGTTAATGTAGCAGTTTAAAATTTTCTCTTTTGACTCTCCCACCTTTCTTTTATCATATATTTTTTTTATTTTTTTTTTTAAATCAGTTGAAATAACTTTTTTTTAACATTTTTTTTAAATCATTTAAAGTGACAAATTAATTGTGTGAGGGTCCCTTATCATTCAAATTTCGACAACCTCCCACCATCCCCTTACTGTAAAGGATGGTTGAGAAGGTCTTCATATGTTCATTTCTCCTAACCGGATCAAAGATACAATGGCGCATGTCTTCTTTGGTTCTTCTCCCGGTCGCATCTAAGATGCAACGGAGTGGGTCTTCAATACCTTTTGTTTAAGCAAGCAGGACATTAAATTTATAACTGCTATCTTTTTGGGCTATAGTGACCTAAATTTTTTTTGTTTGTATGGTGTCATGGCTATAGTGACCTAAACAGCATATCAGATCGGATTAGGAAGTCGGAGATTTGGGCTGGGTGAGGAGTGCGGCTTGGGTTGCAATTGTTGGGGTCGAATGAATCGCACGGGACAGGTATG